GCGCCAAAGTCAAGGGTTGCGCTCAATGTTATGCTAAAGAGATCTAGGCTGTCGGTAAGAGAGACAGACAGACAGACTGAGATTATTTAATAATTACACGATAATATACTTGAATATTTAAATAGTAAATTGCCACGGAAATTAAGCAGTGAACACTAGTCCGAGAATGACGGTTTTAATATTTTTTGCCGTAGTGCCATCTGTGAGAAATCTCTACATTTTTTTCTTCCAGCTGGATCGAAGAAGTTTTAGGGCCGTATTCTAGAACTCTACTCAATGCTCAATTCATGATTTGAGTATGGTTTAAAGCACTCGAAATCATACTCAAGTCCCTGCCATTAGGGTCGTATCTCCAGTGCTTGTGTTGCCAGTGCAATCCTGACTTGAGCATTGAATAGAGTTCTAGAATACGACCCTTAGTGTTCGATCTTTATTTTAATAATCATAACATTAAGAATTGTGTTTTGATTAAACAGGAAATGGATTGGTATATACAACTTATCAAAGGATAGATATGATATGAAAGGATATGTCCAAGGGTAACACCATAATAAGCACTGACACCTTTCTACGAGGCTCTAGCTTTATAGAATCCCTAATTTGGACTAATGTGATACTGACATGTTCTGAGTAATTCTGAATAGAAATTTCTGACATTTACTGTTAAACCATCGTCTGCTGGTACTACCTGGAGACGGTCACTGCTCAAGCTCTGTGATCGAAATTCCTCAGCTTGCTTTCGGGTGGTAATCATCTCACCTCTTATTGGCATACATGTTTAGTTATGGGTAGGCATCGACTATATAACCAGAAATGCAGACGATATAAGGGCCATCCATTCCTGGCAACTCACCAGGCAAATTCAAATTCAAAATAATCTTTATTTCATAGGTAAGCATTATTATACTTGAAATCGTCACAATGGTTAATCTCTACCGCTCATTCGTAAGGCAGATTCCCCTGAGAAGAATGAGCAAGAAACTCTAGGGGTTGCTCGTTGTGAATAACATTTGTACACATTCAACATTTACAATATACCTAATGGGCTTAATATAGTTTATGTGTGTGTGGACTGAGTGAGAACCCTCTGCAAAATGTTTAAAATATATTAGTCATTTAGTAAAAGTTCTAAAACAATTGTAGAAACCAATCTTTCTATTTGTAAAAAGATAAAACAAGAGCAAAATAACTTAATGTGTGCTCACTCAGTTCTCACAGATCTCAGATCTACAAAAGCATTAACTTTGCATATAATTCTTAGGCTTTCGCGATTGTTACTCATAGGAAATGAAACTATTTTTCCGAATTTAAATCGTGTATATTTATTTTTTCAAACAAACCAACGTTTCGGACCCTTTACAGGTCCCATGGTCACGGTTGATTCAGGTGGTACAGTCATCAAACAGTTATGTCTAATATTAATGCAAACCGCCCTATTTTTTCCTATAGTTACAAAAGTTATTAATTAAATATCTTATTTTTAATTTTACAAAGAAACATTCCAATTTACGCTACATTATGTTTTACAAATTATTTTATTGAATGATTTTTTATGAAGTTAAATTTATTATTAATTAATAATAAAAATTAGAATAAATTAAAACATATTAATTAGCACTGCAGTCTTATGTCCGTTTGGGATTTTTCATCAGAGGAGATACTGGATCCCAAACTGGTGCGTGGTACGTAGAAACCATGTTCCCTGTTGAAATGGCCTCTCGCAGCATCCTGGGTAGATAACGGACTTCTTTTGCAAGGACCTGGGGTTTGTCAAATTTCATTGAATGTGTAGGTTTATCCATGACATGCTCGCAGACTGCAGACTCGTTCACGCGACGGTGTTTTGACATAAGCTAAATGTTCTTTGACGCGGGTACGAATACTTCGCTTCGTTTGTCCAATATAGTTGTTAGTTATTTCAAAGTTTAGAGCAGCGATTCGATTTTAGGGCAGCACCTTACAATAACATATACATTATTATTATTAATGATATTTACAAAACTAGGCAGTATGTACATACAAATATCATAAAAAAGTTTAAGTGAAAAAAAATTGGCGCGAATTTGTAGTTACAGTTCATATACGAATTACTTTTTATTTATGTTATGATTTGAGTTCCCAAGTATTCGTTGCCAGTGGCTCCATAGACAATATTCAATAAATACTTAAATAATATAATAATGGAATCTGAGCCCGTGTTTGTTCCTTTGAATGATAATGAAGTTGTTATGATGACTATAACATAAGTATACTCAATAATTAACCATTCATATTAATTCGTAGGTGTCTAAATTACAAGTTCATTTTGGTATTTTCATAACGTGTGGTCAACTTGCATTGTACATTTTCGTACATGTAATAAAAAACGAATATCTTTTTAATTAAATAATCAAAACGAAATCTAAAACGGCAGATATTTAGTAGTAAATTACTACTAAAACTTTACCAATTATAGTCTCTGCAATACTTACAAATCCAAAGATATTGACGTTTGTTACTTTTCAGAAATGTTAGGAGGGAGCACTTAAAAAAAAATATTATTCAACGTTTCACGTTAGTGGCTTGCTTTATATTTTACAAATTCATATGTAACTTTTACTAAATCTAGACAGAAACGAAATTTAATTCTCTTATTTGGTTCTCAAGAAATCGTTCCTTTTAAAAACGTGCTGACTGAGGGAGCATAAGAAAGTATTTGTAAAAATTTGAAAAAGGCACTAATCGATCTGTAATTAAAAACGATAGTTTAACAAAACTTTTACTAAAAGCTAATACAATAATATTATATGCAAACTTAATACTTTTGCAGATCTGACTGACCCTCTGTGAAAACTGAGTGAGCACACATTAAGTTATTTTTCTCTTGTTTTATCTTTTTACAAATAGAAAGATTGGTTTCTACAATTGTTTTAGAAATTTTACTAAATGACAAATATATTTTAAACATTTTATAGAGGGTCCTTACTCAATCCACACACACATATATAACTTTTAAATATCAACTCTCGTTTGCACTGAAATCACAAATTAGAAAGCTGAAATAGTACAGCGCCAACAACTGACCTGTCCGTATATCCCAAAAATATTCTGTATTTATTGTAATAAAGATAATATCTCTAACTATGGGGGGCTGTTCCATTTGGTGGTGTAGGAAAAAGAGCAAAACATCTAATTACAAAACAAACGGACTCACATTTCATCGGTAATCAAATATTAATATGTAATTTATAAATTATCGTCCATTATAGCAAAGTTCATGTTAAATTGGTCGATTTGAAGTGAAACAGTTGACGGGTGTCGTCAATTGTTTCGAATTCGGGCTGTTGTCACCGTATTGATTTGGGAGAATACTTTTCAAACAAATGAAATGACATTTCGTCTCTATTTCTGGTCATAATCTCGATGTGGGTAGTATTAGTGCGAGTTATACAAAATGAGTAAATAAACTATACTTAACTATAACTTTTTTCATAATAAAAAACTGACCTTCGAAGGTCGTGGAATTACATCTATTTGCCAAGTTTCATTCAAATCGGTCCACGGAAAATGCGCGAAACCGGATTTGTCCCCTACTTTGCTACCCTTAGAGGTGGAATGGGATCAATACGGAGGTACTGTCTTTCTAATAAAATAAAGAATACCCGATTCAGTTCACCGTAACCGCGTCACATACATACAAAAAAAACTAAACACAGTCGAATTGACAACCTCCTCCATTTTTTTTGAAGCTTTATACATACTTAGAATAATAACCATTGACTTACAAATAAATGGACGACGGGTCTAATACAAAAACCACGAAAAAAATGTCCCAAGTCAACCTATTCGAAATTTAAATTGTAATGTCATCGCAGTATCGCGCTGTCAGTCGAACAAATGAAGACTAAAGCGGAGTGTCGCGCTCTGTATACGATTTTAGCGCCTTACAAGTGCGGACACTTTTTAGCGCGGACCCGACGTCCATATAATTGTAAGTCAATGATAATAACGCATAGAATGATAGTTTCCTATCAAACGAACTGTCACAAGAGAGGCAAAAATCAAATTCCTGTAGGCTAGTTTTAGTAGTAGGTTAATTTTCGGTTTTAGTGAATATTTATATAAAAATACAAGTTGAAACGCGTTACTTCCTTGTGGAATGTGACGTTAGTATCTATTTTATGTTTGTCTGACGTATTTTTACACTCATTTACCGCACATTTCGTAATTTTTAGCCAAAATTCTTGATCTGTTCGCGGTGCAAGTTGATCTTGAGCACTGAAGGCCCGCCCGCTCGTGTAAGCCCTTTGGGAGCGCTTCAATTTGCCTCACTTAGCGTGTGCGGACTAGGTTTCTATGCGTTATTATTCTAAGGCTTTATATAAGTTTATTTATAAAATGTATCATAGCGTAATTACTGTGCATTTTTGTGGCAGCGGTGACAGGCGCGACCGATGGCATCGGAAAGCAGTACGCCATCGAGCTAGCGCGGCGAGGTCTAAACCTGGTGCTCATCAGCCGCAACGTCGATAAGCTACGAGCTTGCGCTGCGGAAATCGGTAAGATATATAGAGGTTCATAAACTTTTTGTCTGGTAGTTCTGGTTTTGTCTGGAATCGTACCCGGGACCTTGTCAACCCCTAGGCCACCGTATTTTCAGGTCAAAGAATTGACAAACTATATACAGGGTGATAGGTTGAACTAAGATAAATATTTAAAGAGGCAAAATTTTATAAATACTAACACACTCTTCGTTTGGGCTACTCTATTAAACAGAACAGCTGAGCGTTAGGAAATTAAACTCGCGAGTGTCAAGCCTTCCTACTTAAAGAGTACTATTAAAAAACAATTTTCTCTTCATACCATGCTTCGGAGAGACAAAATTGAGTCCTAACATCAATAGGATGGAGCACAACATACCATAACGTAACACTGCATCATGTGCCTAATAAGGCATCGTTATGAACGTCACTGCACAGGTCACACAGGTGAATACACCGATATACCACGCAAAACAATACGCGACGACACACAAGAGCGTAAGCGTACTAACTCCGCGGTAGCGGGTGGCCGGCGGCAGAGTTCTTATACCAACCTTACAGTTTTATTCGTATTTAAGTATTTAGCTATTTATTTTTAAGTCACAAATATAAATTTTGTTTAAAAAATAATTTAAAATATTTCAAAAGGTCGTATAGAGCATTGTTTTGATAATTAAATAATAATAATAAACGTTTGCTTTTATTAAAAAGCAAACGTTTATTACGTTTTTCATTTATCTGTTTATTAATGCGCAAAAATACTGAAATGAAATTATTTTGTATTTAATGTGTGCATTAAAATGTGGTTTAAATAAAATTAAAAAAGAAAGTGATTTTAATTGTCCAAAAAAATCATCATTCATCAATTAATATAATAAATTTTCAATTTTGTTCATCTTCTATACAAATACAAATTCGGGTTTGAAGTTTTCAGCCGAGCCACAACTTCTTCCGGCAAGCTTCCTGTAAATTTAGGCCTTTTTTTACGTAGGCTGGCTATAATAGGGTCAGATGATATTGGAAGCATGTGAACCATATCCTCCATTGTCTTTTGCCTGGAAAGCTTTCGACAGTGAAATTATGCTTTTTAATTATATTTGCTGATTGCTGGTATACTGGTCTTTTGTAAATTTGTTATCCACTTAATGCGCTAACTCTCTTTCCACAGATATTGTGGTGGGTAACTTTTAGGAGACGATATTTTTTTGTTATCCTTGTGAAGCTACAAGGATAACAAAAAAATAGGAGAACTGTCGAAATCTGTCGAACCATTGGCCTTCTTCCCGAAATTTTAAGACTTTCGTGGTTATTCACTAAATGATTATCACTAGTATCAGGTTTCTTACCACGGTTAAATACATACAATTTAGTATAATACCGTGGTAAGAAACCTGATACTAGTGATAATTATTCTTCCCGAAACTTCACTTGCGTTGCCAAAGCAAGTTCCTCTCGACTCTCGGTTAATAAATGATAGACCTTTTTTCTCTTCGTTGATTCGTTACAATCAATGAAGTTCTTTTTTTGGGCGCACTGTAGAGCCAACATCCTCTTTCGTAGGAGTCATATGAACAGAGAGTAAACCAAATTTTGTGAGTAGATAAAAATCTCTCTAGACTTCGGTTACTTTTTCCCATTTATGGTCTACTTGACCACAAAAATAGCTTATAGCGTGTTAACCCCATCTAGTGCGCCCGAAGTGTACTAGAAAGCGTCCTACCCGACATCGCGACGACCACTTATCCTCGAGGAAGTAGATTATGCTTTGCGAATGTAGATGGCGCTTCTCGCCATCGACCCTGTTTTGCCAAAATATCCATTTTTCATGACCAAATATGGTAATAACGAAAGGGCTTCCGGTAACTTTCGTTTTATGCGTGATTATAATTACTATATATAATAATACCCATATATTATATAATATAGTATATAATTACCATTTTTCGTACATAGGTATAATGGACTTCGTCTTACTCTTTTATGTTAGTGTTATCCGATATGTATGTAAATACTGCTTTAAAACGTGATCTTCGCCAAATGTCGAATATCTTTTGTCTACTGACGCTGACTGGTAAGTCTGAAATAAATTAATTTAAAATATACGGACAAATTCGGGCAGCTAATATGAACAAGCTTAACATCAATAATCTCAAATCCTAGTAATTCTGGACCACTGAATCCAGGAAAAAGGGAATGAATGATTCATATCTTTGATTATTTATTAAGCATAATTAATTACAATAAACAAGTATAAAAATTACGATTAAATATTGTACATACCCACAAGAATTCTGTCCATGTCAACAATCTTTACTTTTATTAGCGATAATATGATAAATAGGTACGCTTTGCAGTTTAACCCATACTAACCCATATTAAGTCTTAATGTGGGCAGTAGTCAACGTGTGCTGGTAGATAAAAAAAATTGTTTAAGATTAGTAGGTAGTCATTAATAAGGAACTATTTTTGTTTTTCTTTTTTTATACAATACCGTACCTAATTGAATACCTTTTCATCGGCTAGATAGCATAAATGTCCTACTGTGAGGCGGTTCGATTTTATGCAGAGTATTACAAAATGTTAGATGCAGTGTTTTTCTTACAGAAAAATATTTTAAGTGTATTTTTTACATATTCGGTATGGGCATCAGCAACTCATTTGTAGTAGTAGTTCAACCTGGCACCCTGGAGATATTCTTTAGTTGCGCCCCTTTTGCATATCCCAAACTACTTTAGATACTCAAACTACATAATGCGTATGTAATTTGAGTGCATATGTTCGTAGTAAGTTAGAATGTGCTTCCCCAATTCAGGAGTCCGAGATACCAAGTCTATATCGACAGAATTGAACGAGTAAAAGAAATTTATTAAGTTCTTATGCTGTAAAATGGTAAGTCTTATAGTTAATGCGACTGAATCTATTTACCTCTAAATATTCGGCGAAAAATCTTTGTGATAGCGTATATTCTAAACATTATAAATGCTAATGTTGACTGCTTTGGTGTACTGGGTGATATTTTGTTTAACGGATTTACTCATTCTATGAGACACTATCACCCTATTGCAGTTCCCTTCACGAGGACTAACTATAGACAATAGTTTTCTATGTAGAGCTCGCAAGAGCTTGGATAGTGTGCTGAGCAATCAAGATTTGGATTTTGATATATTCAATTCTAATGTTGATGCGCTGAAGCGTAAACTTACGGACATTCTATTTAATTTTATTGAATAATTTGCGATTAGCGTAGATATTGGGTTGTTATATTTATGTTAGTGCATGTTGGAAGCAGTACTGTTTATTGTTCGTTTGTTTAACGCTCGTGTATAATTTATTTGAAGCTATAGGTGGAAACCTATAATTGGCTTTGTTTATTTTCCTATTTTTTATTAAATGTAAGAAGCTGTTGGTTGTCCATTAATAAATAAATAAATTACTGTTCTGTGTTGATATATTTTATGTGCTATTACATTGTGTATTGAGGACTTTAAATAAGAAATTACTATAGGCTGAGGGCTATAATATCTCGAGTTTTGTATTTTTTTACCGTCGGTGATACATACAATGCTTTTCATCATATTTGCGAGGAAATAAATACATACAATATAAATATGGTTCACAACAAAACACTTATGGATGGTCAGCTACCTATTCTTCCATAGATAATACAATTCAAACTAAAATGTTGTATATAGCAAACACGCATACAACTATGATGGATTTTGATAAATTTTTATACAGAAAATAATTTAAATCAATTATAAGAAATTCTTAACAATAAGTATTTAATTCTTAGGTTTTCGCGATTGTTACACATAGGAAATGAAACTATTTTTCCGGATTTAAATCGCGTATATTTGTTTTTTCAAACAAACCAACGTTTCGGGCCCTTTACAGCGAGCATGTCATGGATAAACCTACACATTCAATGAAGTTTGACAAACCCCAGGTCCTTGCAAAAGAAGTCCGTTATTTACCCAGGAAGCTGCGAGAGGCCATTGAAATTAAAAAACATCCTAATTTCAACAGGGAAAATGGTTTCTCCGTACCACGAGTTTGGGATCCAGTATTTCCTCTAATGAAAAATCCCAAACAGACATAAGACTGCAGTACTAATTACAATCATATGTTTTAGTTTATTCTAATTTCTATTAATAATTAATAATAAATTGAACTTAATAAAAATTCATTCGATAAAATAATTTGTAACACTTAATGTAGCGTAAATTGGAATGTTTTCTTTGTAAAATTAAAAATAAGGTATTTAACTAATAACTATTGTAACTATAGCGAAAAGACAGGGTGGTTTGCATCAATATTAGACATAACTGGTTGAAGACTGCACCACCTCAGTCAACCGTGACCATGGGACCTGTAAAGGGCCCGAAACGTCGGTTTGTTTGAAAAAACAAATATACGCGATTTAAATCCGGAAAAATAGTTTCATTTCCAATAAGTATTTAAGTAGTATGTGGCTGAATTGCTATTATTTTTTTGTTTAGATAACATTTTAAGCGAATGTTTTAACTTTGAACTCAAGTAACCTTCTTGCTTGAACTTGAAATTGACACATGTAAGCCAGTATGGCGTGCTACATATTAAAAAGAAATCGAAAGAAAATGGCCCGAGGGTTTTACTTGGGGCATTATAGTCAAGTTAGCCATCATGCAATCATACTGTTTACGCGCAAGTGTGATGAAAATATAGTCAATACGTAAATTTATAATTTTTTCCATCGTATCCATCTGCTGTCAGCAGCCATTCGCAAATCGTCACTCCATCTGGCCAGAAGGCATACTACACTACGTTTGCAGAGCCGTGGTTTCCACTCAAAAACTCGCTTCCCCCATTGCTTGTAGACTCTTCGACATGTATGGCCAGCTCACTGCCTCTTCAGCTTGTTTATTCTACCAGTTTTGTTTTGTTTATTCTCGGATTATGTACACAATATAACAGAAACAAAATTTACCTGTTGCAGAGAAGGAGCACAACGTGAAGACGAAGGTCATCGTGGCGGACTTCAGCCGCGGTCCTGAGATCTACAAGCACATAGAGGAAGAACTCGGGGATCTACCACTCGGCATATTAGGTATTTATTGTGATTAGAACATTTCAGTATGATCTAGGGTTATTTGTAAATTACTAACAATTTCCCAGGACTATATTACTAACATCATAAACAACAACTTTTGTCAACATAATAAATTCACCAACATTTTTGATTTAGATTGATCTGCAGTTGATAAAACTGCTCCTAAATGAAAAAAAAACAAGTTGTGTGAAATTTATATTACCCAATGTTAGAGAGACGGTTACAAATGTTGTAGTTAGAAAAGAAAAATTGAACCTTGTAGATACAGTTGTATTTCTAGATAAAACGTTAGATGCTAAATTGCAATGTGGTCCACATATAAGTAAGTTATCAAAAAAAAATACGGAAAAGTTCAGACGTCAAAACAGTTAGATTGGTTTATTTCTGTTACTTTCACAGTCTAATGACATACGGTATTTTGCTTTGGGCTAATGCCGCCGATATAATCTCTGTCTTATAAAAACTTGCGGTTAGGGCAATTTACAACCTGGGACCCTGGAATCTGGGAGTATCTTTGATAGACGAATATAAGGAAATTAATATTCTTACACTAGCGTCACAGACGTTTATGAAAATGTAATTTATATTAAGAAGAATAGTAATTTCTTTATGAAAAATAGTGACAGACATAACATTAATACGAGGAATAAAAATAAACTAGTTAGTTCTTGATAGACCGTCTTCACAAATTCACACAACTTCATTTATGGGGCAATTCATATTCAAAAATATTTATTTCAGATAATGCATATCCATTGGTGTTAGTCGTAGTAAAATAAACTTATAAGCTATTAGGAAATGAAACTATTTTTCCGGATTTAAATCGCGTATATTTGTTTTTTCAAACAAACCAACGGTTCGGGCCCTTTACAGGTCCCATGGTCACTGTTGACTGAGGTGGTACAGTCTTCAACCAGTTATGTCTAATATTGATGCAAACCACCCTATTTTTTCACTATAGTTACAATAGTTATTAATTAAATACCTTATTTTTTTTTTACAAAGAAAACATTCCAATTAAATTATTTTATTGAATTAATTTTTATTAAGTTCAATTTTCCTGAGATCCGTGAAATGTAACATCCCCTTACAGGATGCAGGAGTTTACAAGCTTGACTGTGAGTGCGGTCTCTCTTATATTGGACAAACAAAGCGAAGTATTTGTACCCGCGTCAAAGAACATATAGCTGATGTCAAACACCGTCGCGTAAACAAGTCTGAAGTCTGCGAGCATGTCATGGATAAACCTACACATTCAATGAAGTTTGACAAACCCCAGGTCCTTGCAAAAGAAGTCCGTTATCTAGCTAGGATGCTGCGAGAGGCCATTAAAATTAAAAACATCCTAATTTCAACAGGGAAGATTGTTCCTGCGTACCAACAATTTGGGATCCAGTATTTCCTCTGACGACTGTATCACGCAGAACTAATTTTTTTTTAAATTATCCTAATTTCTATTATTAATTATTAATAAATTAAATTTAATAACAATTCATTTTGTTAAAATTAAATTTGTATTATATGTAGCGTAAATTGGAACGTTCTTTGGAAATTTAAAAATAAGGTACTTAATTAATAACTTTCGTAAGTTCAGAATAGGGTTTGCATGTATATTAGAATAACTGGTTGATAACTTTACCACCTCAGCCAACCGTGACCATGAGACGTGTAAAGCGCCCGAAAGCTTGGTTTGTTTGAAAAAATAAAATCAATGATAGATATCCGGAAAAAATAGTTTCATTTCCTATGTGTAACAATCGGGAAAAGCTAAGAACTCGATATATCTAATATGTAATTGTAATTTGAATTACAGTAAACAATGTGGGAATCCAGTACGATTACCCGATGCCACTATGCGAGGTGCCTTTGTCGAAGGCGTGGGAGGTGATAATGGTGAACATTGGTTCGGTGACGGCCCTCACGCGGTTGGTCCTGCCGGGAATGACGGCGCGCGGCGTGGGCGCAGTCGTCAACATTTCCTCAGGGTCAGAGTTGCAGCCGCTGCCGCTTATGACTATTTACGCTGCTACAAAAGTGAGATATGAATATTTATTTTTGGGCACTAACAATAAAGTTATCAGCTGTGGAGAAAATGTCCCATAAATTATCGTTTAAATTGCGGTACACAGCAATGGAGATCCTTGTTCAGGGTGGTAATGCCAACTGACTTATTTGTGCCGCCAAGCAGTAATGTAATGTACATTACCGCATTCCGGCATTGACAAGTAAGGGCGCTAGGGAAGCTACAGGCATTTTGTGAATTAAAGTTTTGAGTGGCACTGCAACTCTTAAGGTGGTTTTCCACCGGCGAGGCTAGACGAGACGAGAAGAGACGAGAATTGAAATGTCTCCGATCTATTTTTACCATAAATTGCCATTAATAGCTTGCGCTATGATTGTGGATAGTGAAGATTTTTTAGTAGTATTAGAGCTCCTTGTGAAAGAGTTAGTCCAGGGTAGTACTGCCACCTTACCTATTTCCGCCGCCAAGCAGTAATGTCAGCATTACTGTGTTCCGGTTTTGAAGGGTAAGGGTGCTGGTGAAATTACAGGCACATGGGACTTGTAAATGTTATGTCTTAGGGTGACGGGCGCAGTGGTAGTGCCCCGCAGATCTTTGTAATTTAAAGCTCTGAGTGGCACTGCAACTGTTATGGACAGGTGTGTGGCTTATCATCAGCCGCACGACTTGTTCGTCCCGTCACTTGATGTTATTAAAAAAAAATTCAGTGCTGTTCAGTTCAATCTAGCGATAGCGGAAGTAACATGTCCTGGAAATTATTGGTTTTAAATATGTTAACAGAAGAAGAATTAGATCAAACCATCTTTTTTTAAACAATTGATAGTTCGCGCGAAATCGTGCGGGCACTCGATCGCGCCCGCGCGAGAAATAGTGTACCCGTTGCCGAGCAATATGGTTTATTATTATATTAACAAATCGGCTCATCCGTAGAACAAAGATCTATGTGCATGACTACTTGTTCTTAGGACATAGTACATTTCGCTGGTTCTTCTTCGCTGCGGATGTCAGATTGAACGTTGTTCGATTTTATATTTCCGAAACGAAATAAGACATTCACAAATTCAAAGACAAATTCTGAAAACACCTTGGCATAGGCCTTAGTTTGAATAACGAAATGATTCTCGTAACGTACTTCTTTTTTACCAACATGATTCAATAAAAAACTTATATATACATTTCCGGATGCTCGACATTTATGTCTAAAACGTGTGATAATTGAAATTTTGGAATCGATCGACATTTTTCGTTAGACTTTCATGTTAATTGACAAAACTGAAACAGGACTAACCGTGGGTACCATGTTTCAGGCATACATACGCAGCTTTACATTGGCTATACGCGAAGAATATGCGGGTAGCGGGGTTCATATCCAGCACGTGGCACCTTTATACGTATCGACGAAGATCAACGCGTTCTCGCAACGCCTGTTGGACGGCAACTTGCTTGTACCCGACGCTGCCACGTACGCGCGGCACGCAGTCGCCACTCTCGGGCGCGTGCGCAACACCACCGGCTACTGGCTTCACGGAATCCAGGTGAGCCAAGACAGCAGGTCGATCCTTAGCTTTGGCTAAGCAGGCTCCATTCGAAGTTGAGCTTGGCATTTGAAAAAAAATCTATAGAAATGGGGAAAAGTGTCATGTCAAGTTTGGTAAAAGAAGGCGCTGGTACAGCTGAAGAAATATCATTTGCACCGATGAAGCCATTAACACATCTTTTATTTAAAGCGTGTGACGGTGAATGATTTTTTTTTCTCCGGCCCCCCCCCCGGGTATTGTGACGGTGAGACCTCCTTACACCGTCATCTCACCTCTTTGTATCGCATCTCTCCTCTTGCATCTTATCATTTATTTTTATTTTACTTGTATTTAAATTTTAAATTTGAATTGTTCATCTTCCTTCACTTTCTCATTTTGTTTTCGTACCACGGCCACACCCAGCTCGACCGAATTATATAGGGTGGCCGCAGTGGAGATGAAGTCAAGACGAGAAAATATGATGTATAACTACATTGACTTACAATTATATGGACGTCGGGTCCGCGCTAAAAAGTGTCCGCACTTGCAAGGCGCTAAAATCGTATACAGAGCGCCAAACTCCGCTTTAGTCTTCATTTGTTCTACTGACAGCGCGATACTGCGATGACATTACAATTTAAATTTCGAATAGGTTGACTTGGGACATTTTTTTCGTGGTTTTTGTATTAGACCCGTCGTCCATTTATTTGTAAGTCAATGTATAACTATATTAAATTTCCACAAAAGTATTTCTTAAACTAAATAATTTTAAGAACGTCCGAAGTTAGGTACGTTAGGTCTAAAAGTGCTTATACGAAAAAGATCTTAACTAAAGGAATTTAGTCTACGTCCGATGTTAGGAACGTTGGGCCGAAAAGTGTCTCATAATTATAATTAAAATGACGAGTTTTGCATCGCTCACGTTGCAATGCACGGGGCGCGCGTTCCGGGGTGCGCGAATGCAAGTGCATTGAACTGACGTTTTAGGTATGTGTGTTATGCAAATCTGGATACATAACAACCGCCACAACAGTCAGAGCTGTTAATAAGCTAATCATGTATAATAATTTATAAGTCTACACCTTTCATGTATCTATTCCTGTAATTCAGTTTCTCGGCCCATTTAATAATAAGTGTAGGGAGTGTTTTATACTGTTGTACCTGTTTTTTTACATTTACCTTTTTATTGTTACAGCCCTTTCTTTAATCTTTACTTCTTTAATAAATTTTGTGGACTCCGGTCCACAGTTTTCCATTTCATTGCCGTGAACCTGTTCACGGCTAGTTAGGATTACAACCCTTTCAAGCGTACACGGATTTAAGGATATTGGTTCATCGCACTCGTCATGGGTGCGCTATATAGTAGTTTATGTGACTGTTGCATAGTGAAAGGTATTACAATACGAGTGTGGGTTTCATAACATCATGACACGAGTGTTTTAATGCCTAATTATGTACAGTTGCATACACTGCTTTATCAATACACACATTATAAGCTCTCTATGATGTGTTCGGGAACCGCATGTTAGGATCGGAATTGCGGGATTGACCAGAGCTAATATTAATAATTATTAGAAAAATAATGCAACAAAGCTTATTTCTCACACATGTCACGCAACAGACAAACTAGAGTCAGCCCCAACTATCACATCGTACGATAACAAGTAACGTGTGAGATTTATCAAAATTGTTTGCTATTGACAGTAATTATCAAAACAACAAACACTATAAATCATACACTAGGAAACATTTTTTGAAAACTGAAGATATAAACTGTATTTTGTAAATTGCTTAATTGTTATTCCATGCCATTTATATGCACATGTAAGTGAGCATGTTTTTGTACCTGTCTACAAGTAATTAAGTTAGTTTTTTAAGATTTTTGCTCTATTATATATTATCTTTACTTAAATAGACTTTTTCGCCGCGGACAATGCCGGAAGGGCTTTTGTAAGTGAAGCTTGTAATTAGTAAATAAGTATTTTTCCAGTATTTTGGTCAATAAAAAAAAAATCATTTCGAATAAAACTTCATCTCGACTGATATTGGAATTGAGTAGAGTTGAGAATCGAATAAAATTGTTTTGTTTTTCAGAGATGTTCGAAATTTGAATGTAATAGATAGTGAAATCGAATTCTACTATAACATTTTCACAGATAAGAAATTTGTTCTAACAAAACAGTTTATCACATAAATCTATGGTTTATCATTATGCTGGTCGTAAGCGGTTTTTGAATACATCGTAGAGGGTTTATCATAATGTGTGTAGATAAAATGCCTTTTCTGAATTCTAGTTTTCAATTATTTATTTATTCAAGAGGTGTTTTTTTAACAATAGTTACTTCGTAAAATAGCGACTGCTGGCTCTTTTCTTTCGAGTTTGACAAGTTATTTACGCATAAATATATCATCAAGGTTAGAATTGAGTGCCAATGCGTAAAAGTATTTAATCTAGTTGTTTGCATTACACACATGACACGTGCGTTACTGAGACGGCTCAATCTTTTGTCCTGTCGTATTTATTTTAAAGACGAAGCGATAAAACGAATCAGTACAAATAATTTCGCCAGACGAATCCATTTTTTCTGAACGTCTGAGAAAATAGCGTTTAAGAGGCCATTCACAATTACCCTGATTTTTTCGTGTCTTATTTTGGAATCCTTCTTAAATAATAATAAATAAATAAATAACTAACGCACACACTCAACATAGCCCCGCACTAGGGAAGCCCTGTGTCGCGGGTGCCATGGCCACACACATAGACAACCACAAATTACACCCAAACTCACGAGAGAAATAAATGTAAGTCATACAAACATTTCTCCCGGCCCGGGAATCGAACCTGGGACCTCTGTGTGGCAGTCCGGCATGGTAACCGTTCGGCCACGGAGGCAGTTATTATTATAATTGACAATTTAACTGACTGGGTTGTACATAAGAATGTATGTAATGTCCATCCTCTATTGGTTGTACTTAATGATAATCATTGGTTGTACTCCATTGACTTAGAAATTGTACTCGCACCTTTTTCATTCGTAGAACACCGCGAACGAAAAAGGGCGCGTAAATTTCCAAACTTCTTTGATAACTGTCAAAGTTATGTCATTTTTTAATAAGTTTTCATGGTATTCACTATTTTTTTCTATCCTCTAAGGTTTTCACCATTGACTTACGTTTTCACCCATTTATTTGGATAGACAAAAGTTCTACCATACAGCCTCTTCATATTTCCTTGTTTTGATGGAAAAGGCGATAAGTGCCTGTTCATAATTTAATCGATTTCTTCCATATCTATAATGTGATGCCACATCTGATATCTAGAATAATTCGTCTTTCCGTTTCAAGCAGTTATTAATGTTTACTTTTAACCGACTTCAAAAAAAGGAGGAGGTTCTCAATTCGACTGTATGTTTTTTTTGTATATATGTTACGCGATAACTCCGGTATTTGTGAACCAATTTATGATTCGTTTTTTGTTGGATAGAGGGTATCTCCATAGTGGTCCCTTTAATTTTGAAGAAAATCATCCACCTCTAAGGCTGTTCACGCATGAAGATTCATTTTTATAAACAGCGGCAAAATTTTTATAGCAATTATTTTAATGGTTGATTTTGCTACTCTCCAATTCAAGGCGTTTTTCTCTCTCAATATACTTTGAGAAGTGAGAACTGATTTTTATTATATTTTAATGGCGAACTAGGGGATGAATCCGGGTTTGCGAAATACCCGGTAACCGATTTCAATAAAACATGTTAATTATATGTAATTCCACGTACTTTTGAGGTCGGTTTGTTTAGTACTCTGTACTGAGATTATATTGTTATAATATCAAGTGACGGGACGAACAATTCGCGCATCTGATGGTAAGTTACGCGCCTGTCCATAACAGTTGCAGTGCCTCTCAGAGCCACTGCCACTGCGCCCGTCACCCTGAGACATAAGTTGACAAGTTCCATGTCTCTGTAATTTCACCAGCACCCTTATCCTTCAAAACCGGGACGCAGGAATGCTCGCATTACGGCTTCATGGTAGAAATAGATAAGGTACCAGTACTGTATCCTGGACATACTCTTTCACAAGGAGCTCTACTGCTACTAAAATGTATTTGATTCTTAGAGGATGGAAATAAAATAATGATAATTTTGAATGAACCAGTTTCATTCAAAATTACAAAGAAATTCGTTAAAGTTCGCTCACGGAAGTACCTTACCCTGAGGGGTAAGGGTGCTGGTGAAGTTACAGGCACATGGGACTTGTCAACTTATGTCTCAGTGTGACAGGCGCAGTGCACTTCAGATCTTTGCGATTTAAAGCACTGAGTGGCACTGCAATCTTATCCATAACCTGTTTCTTCCGTCACTTATCATAATAATAAAAAATTCCAAGTCGCCTAACTTGACGGTAACGCTGGCAAATGTGGAGAAACTAGGGAATAGATAGTTTTTTAGTCAGTTCAACGTTCCTTTAACCAATATTTAACTGTTGCAGACGTTCTTCATAAAGATGGCTCCGGAACCTGCCCGCATCAAGATCGGGAAGCATATGAACGAGCAGTTCCGCCAAGAATACCTTATCAACAACAAAATCAAGTCACAATAAAGACATTAAACAGGCAGAAGATACAACTCTGTGCCTGGTAGCAAAATACTTGTATCTTTACCATAATTATACACGGTTATTTGTAACACATACGCAACCTCGCAGGACTATAGCTTTTGAACCGTCACTTTTAACAAAATTTACTAAAAATAAGTTTTTGTTGTAGGTAATATTTGACACTTTTTAAGTCTATATTTTTTAGTAACGTAGTAAGTTTAAACTTACAATGAGGTACAATTAGGTTGTGGAATGAAATGGCGGGGTTTTCCCGCAGGAATACACAGCATAGAGTCCTTCAAAAGGGGTTTGAGAAGGGTCCTAAAGGGTTGGCAACGCGTACGTGACGCCTCTGGTGTTGCCGGCGTTTATAGGCGACGGTGACTGCTTTCCATCAAGAGGTTATATGTTTGTTTGCTGCCCACTTAATATAAAAAAAACAAAAACTTGCGAGCGGCCTCCCCGATATACTCCACCCTGTGTTTTGCATAAATAAAATTAATAATCACCGTTTAGATATTTTTATTTTGAATGCATGAAAGTAGAATGTAATGGATTATTAAATGGAATAAAAGTTGTTGTTTATGATGAACAAAGGTTGTTAGTATCTTACAAATAACCCAGTATAATAACTACATCTGGTACTAAAACTTTAAGGTATGAACGTGTCATAAACACAGAACAAATCTAGCTTCATTTCATTCCACTTGCAAAGCTATCGTCGTTGCTAGAAAAAAATATGTAAAAAAAAGCAATGCAGTACAAATACTCTATGGGCGCACAAGAACATATAAAAAACAAACAAGAGACAGAGTACAACAGGCGGCAATGTTCATTATTTACGAACCCAATCCTTTCAAGGTTCTAATGGCCCGAACGTTTGTAATTTTTTTTTTTTTTACGCACACACTCAACATAGCCCCGCACTAGGGAAACCCTGTGTCGCGGGTGCCATGGACACACATATAGACAACCACAAATTACACCCAAACTCACGAGAGAAATAATTGTAGGCCATACAACTATTTCTCCCGGCCCGGGAATCGAACCTGGGACCTCTGCGTGGCAGTCCGGCATGGTAACCGTTCGGCCACGGAGGCAGTTATTATTTATTATAATTGCTATTCCTCCCGTTTTTGCATACATTGTTTTTATTTTATGCAGGCCATTAAAGTAAAAGAAAAATTAGATTATACATATATTTATATTACACGATTTAAACATTGTAGTTTATTATATTATATTTTGAAATTTTTAAGTATCTCTGAAAAAATCTTGTACTTGAAAGAACATTGACTTACAATTATATGGACGTCGGGTCCGCGCTAAAAAGTGTCCGCACTTGTAAGGCGCTAAAATCGTATACAGAGCGCGACACTCCGCTTTAGTCTTCATTTGTTCTACTGACAGCGCGATACTGCGATGACATTACAATTTAAATTTCGAATAGGTTGACTTGGGACATTTTTTTCGTGGTTTTTCTATTAGACCCGTCGTCCATTTATTTGTAAGTCAATGTGAAAGAATAATAATTTGTTTTAAAGTATTAAAACTCTTAACAATTATAAAGGAAATAAAGCCGACTGTGGATGGAAGAACAAAAAAAGGAATGTGTTTCTCTAAGTTTGATAAAGAAAACTAAAAAGTGCTTTATGGGATCGGCGCCCTGTGCGAATTTGGTACGAGATAGTGGGGATTGTTGAGCCGGCTGTTTGACCGCGCTCCTAGCGTAAAAATAAAAAAAAATTATCACCGCTTAATATTTGCTGCATGTTGTACATTTTGAAATGGGTTTTTCGTCAAAACTAGGAAATGATATATGAGGAGCCTGTATGGTAAAATATTTGCCTGCTCAAATAAATGGCTGTAAACTTAAAAAAAATGCACGCTAAACTAGTTAAGAGCAAGTACTTAGAATAATACGCATAGAAACCTAGTCCGCACACGCTAAGTGAGGCAAATTGAAGCGCGCCCAAAGGGCTTAAACAAGCGGGCGAGCCTTCAGTGCTCAAGGTCAACTTGCACCGCGAACAGATCAAGAATTTTAGCTAAAAATGACGAAATGTGCGGTAAATGAGTGTAAAAATACGTCAGACAAACATAAAATAGATACTAACATCACATTCCACAAGGAAGTAACGCGTTTCAACTTGTATTTTTATATAAATATTCACTAAAACTATATGAAACTATCATTCTATGCGTTATTATTCTAAGTCTATAACCACACGCAACCTCTTTTGCTGTCAAAATCGTGGCGCACTGACAAGGAAGTAACGCGTTTCAACTTGTATTTTTATATAAATATTCACAAAAATCGAAAATTAACCTACTACTAAAACTAGCCTACATGAATTTGATTTTTGCCTTACTTGTGACAGTTCGTTTGATATGAAACTATCATTCTATGCGTTATTATTCTAAGAGCAAGTATTATAAAGCCATTTATTTAGTTTAGTTTTTAAGTATGATGAAGAATAAATAAAATATTTGAATAAATATTTTATAAAGATAATACATACAATCCTGTATTTACATTAATTACACTCAAGTAAGAAAGCAAAGACGAACAGTAGTATAAAAGAAATATATATATATTATATTTTTGGCTGACTTTCATATGTACAGTGTTATCGACAGTTTCATATCCCGAAGTTTTCTTAAAATCTTGTGATACCCTGTATAAATACAAATGTACCATTTCTCTCCTGGCCAATGGCAATGATTTTTGCGAAAAATATTTTCAGTTAGCACTTCACAACTTCACTTCACAGTCTGAAATGGAACTAGGCCGGACATGTTTCAATAAAAAAAGAAAATTTCAATAGTCAACGATTTCCATGTACTAGCGTACTAGATACGGCCATGCACACTGTGTTTCACAGATGTGCGGTTCCGGCACAACACTTCATTTAGTTGGTTGTCAAACACTCAAGATGGCGGACGCAGAAGCGGTCCCCTTTAAAAATTAATTTACATCGGTGTGTTCCTCACATTTCGCTATTTGACTATTGCATGAACGTAAATTTAAAGTTTTAAATTATTCACATTGATTCGGTAAGTAATGTTGTGTAGACCTGTTTATTGTTGTGTTAGTTTGAACAAAAGTGACTCATGTTCAGAATTGTTGAGCATTTCATTTTAATTTCATAATCACACTCTCACGATCGAGATACTAATCGTCGATGATGGTATACAAATATATATATGTTAGTACTGCATTTAATACGATATAATCAACTATGACTTAAGTACTCAGTTGCAAACAAGAATGTCAAGTTAGCGAGGAGAGAGATGATAAGCTTTCGTGACTTGCATTCCGTTATTTTTATTTTAAGAACCATTGTGATACAGATTATGTTTTTTTTAGTTATTATCGTATAATTCATATAATTAATTAAATGATTTATTGTTATTTTATTTACTATTTTTTTTCTCCATTTTGGTAGAAAGTATCTTCCTAATTAATTTTTAAACAATGTCCCGGGGGCATGCGTGGCACATTTCGAAACACCTCTCGTTCATGCACTGCCACGTTCTTTTCGAATGAATGAAGAGCTTAGGTTGCCTAAGCAAGATTTAAAGCATAAGCAATAGCTTGGCTTATTTGTTTTAATACTTGAGAAGAGGGGACCCGATAGGCAGAGGAGATATAGGAGAGGAGAATAGGGGAATTTAGTAAAAGTACTAACAATTATTTATTTATTTATTTATTAGCAATACTAACATTATGTTCACAAAAC